TTTTTTTTTTTCCATTGGTTTTCAATTTTGCTCCTTTGCTTTTTGTACTCTAATACACTGCAGAATCGAAGTACAAAGATCTTTAGATAAATTTTTGTACATCTCGATGTTCTATTTATTGTTGTCAGTGCATAAAACTGATGAAATATTTCATTGATTCCATAGTATCTTGAAGGCCTTTTTGGACCCCTTATGTACTCATTTTGTGAGGGACAAATAGTCTCAAGGGGAGCATCATAACTTTTCCTGAAATTTACTACAAAGTTATTTTCTAGACATTGCAAGGAGTGTTCTCGCCTACATTTCTAAGATATTTGAGATCAAATATACTGATACCATGGTACCAAGAAATCATACACGTAAATTTCATTTAGGCTTTGTGAGTGTTTAAATCTAGAAAAAGAAAGTAAAAGAAAAAAGCAAAAGCAAAGCTAACTTTACAGTGATCTTTGAGTGCAAGGAGCAACCTTTGAGCAATAAAATATCAATCAAGAAAAGTTGATGCAGTCCAAGATTCTTGAGACGATTTCATGATATTTATATTTCTTTAAATGTGTCGTTTTATTTAATTAGAGAACAAATTATGTTATATAATTTAGTTGGAGTTGAATTTATATTTCGATGGGAGTGTACGGACTAAGATACAATTTCAATTATAGTCATGTTTCAAGATTTATATAGGACGGTAACAGACATCGTTTCTTATATATTATTTCACTAAAGAAGCATGGGGATCATATTAGAGTTAGATCCCAAAGAAAACTTGATATTTATGACTTAAATAATATTTGCGATGTATTTGTTGAGCGTGAATGGATCCTCCAATAAGCAAATAAAACTCAAGGATGGAGATTTGATTTTAAAGGTTGGAACTAATTTTTCCAGAGATCCCAAAGGTTGGCAATTAATTGCAAAAAAAAAAAAAANGGTGCCCACACAAGAAATAGAAAATTTGAATTTAAATGTTGATGTGATGGATAACGATCATATTTTTCATTTTAATGAAAAAATAATGTGACCCAAACGGGCTCTAAGGTTGTTGTCAGGAGGATTTAAAACTTCGTTTCCTAAATAAAAATTAGAAACTTTACCATTAGGTTACGAAGAGTTTGTATGTTGTAAGTTAAAGTTTATTTTTTATTATTTGTTTTTAATATAAAATAAAAATAAAAATAAAAAATTGGAGAAGCTTGGGAGGCCGAGCCCGTTGGCTCCACCACTGATGTGTTATTTTTATATTTTTTCAACAAGTCTAATCTTAAACTTCAGCATTTTCAGACAATCACTAACAATCTTAAATTATATAATTACATACCAATTAAGGGCGGTGATGATTTGATAACCAAGAGCTAATCCTCTGCAGTGACAATTCCTCAAAATTCTTGAAACAGTGGCTTTCAAGTATTGCACATTTATGTGTAAATACAGCAAAAGGGCAAACTTGACTAAGAAGTACAATGTTGTCAAGCGTGTCACAAGAAATCGCCACTGCAGAGGATCTGCTCTCTAGACAAACTTGATTAATGATTTGAAATGGTTTGCTCATTATTATCAACTTTTCTTGATCATCTTTTCTCCAAGTCAAAAAGGTCTAAGATTGTACTAAGAAAGCACAACCGTATATGAGATAGTCAGCAAATTTCATCGTGTCCTTTTCCGTCCAAAGTATCAATATACCCTCATCGCATGTTTATTAAGTAGTACTGGATGAATGGACAGTTTCGTACATGGCTATGAATAAGATTTTAAGTCATTCATATTCAATATTGTACATCAAACATAGATTAATACATAGTTATTCTCTCTAATTTCATTCACTAGTTATAGACATGTTTACGGAGTAGTATCGAACAAATGGAGAGTCTCATCCCCTACTACGAATAACAATTTAATTTACTCATATCTAGTAATGTACACTGAATCTCTAACGCACTTACGTGCCTAATATGTCAAAAATTCCATTGACTAGTTATAACCTAGAGAACCTATAATATTTGAAATATTCAATATGAAAATCTTGCAAGTCTAAATTCAAATTCCAAAAAGGATATAGAGCTCTCTTTCCATGTGGGCTCAAGTTGTTACATCAAATTGGATGCAAATATTTGTTGCTTAGCTTATGGAGCCTATTTTTATTTTTAAAAAATGGTAATGCATGATTTTTTAGCTATTTAATAAAAGCCGGTATCGATGCATGGCGGCTAAACAATGCTTTTTAATTCATTTTCATCATAAAATGTCTAAACCATAGAAACTAGATTAATCATATCTTTATTTAAATCAAACGTCATCATCACGTATTAGTGAACACAGCGAAAAAAAAATTTTATGTAATCGATTTCACAATGAAACTTAATTTATCGTTTTTCTTATTGTCGTCATTGTCATATGACCATAAAATAAGTGCATGAAAAGGAATATAAAATGAATATAGTGCGTTAGCCCAACTTTAATAGTTTTCTTGTTGGATTTATACAAAGAATTTCTAGTTTAAAGTAAGAAAAAAGAAAGAGAAATGAATCTTTGTTTATGTCAATTAGCTAATTGTCTGTTTTTTATTTGGCCTTGCTGTTGTTTTCTTATCAAATATTTATTACTATTGACATCTCTTTGCTTCTAATTAATATTACTTTGCTTCATTAATTGTATCGAAATCCATCGATACATCCTAAGTGGAATTTTGTTTTTACTAATGATGTTTGTGAAAAATACTAGTTATTGTACTGTTGTAGAAAGTAATTTAGACCTGAATTTTAGAACATAGTGGATGTTTGACATTCTAATTTATGTCCTTTTGTTGCTTATAATTGTTAGCCGGGTTGGTTGAATCTAATCTAGTAAGGTACTAGGAAATTACACGAAGCACGAAACTTTAATAAAGAATATCGAAAAGGGTTTTTAGGTACGAGAAGTTTTTGAGAAACAAAGTCATAGTCACGTAGTAATGTAAACATGGTTCATGCTTAACGTTACTAGATTGCTTAAGGTGTGCAAAAGTAGGAAGAACAACATAATCTAGGTCAACGGAAGTAAGGATATTGAATATGTCGATGTTTATGCATTTGGGTGCAAAACATTCCATGAATAAATCGAGTCATTCTCCTTGTGATTTATGAATAAATATGTAATAAAAATTCTCGCATTTCTTTTGTTATCATTTAGTCTCGATTATATTAAATGTGAACTTTCTTAGCCTTCGACGATAAGGGACCTGAAAATACCGTGAAGTTAGCAGTGCAACAATAGTCACAATTGCAGGCACCTACTACGTTACCACACGCGCCACACTCGAAACTTCGAAAGGCACTGCACGCATACTACTAGGTTCAATGTCAAGATTTGCTCATCTCATTAAGTACCCCACACTAGCAGTCGCTGATCCCAAGCCAAATACAGGTTGTAAGAAATGTGCTTCGGCCATATACTTAATCGACTAGGAGAAAGGAAGAGCAAGTGCAAGCATAACATTGCAGCGTGTCTTATGCCTAAGCCAGTCGACCAGCAGGCTGCGCGGTTTTCTTGGCCAAGCCTTTCTATCCATTTCTTGCGTCTAGCAACATAGTTTTAAGTCAGCCAAGAAGGGAAGGAAGAATGGTTCACTTTTATATTGTGTTGGTATATTGAACCACACCGAAGAAGATTAAGGAATTAAAAGAAATAAAAATTCTCAAAACAAAACAACGGAAAATTGACAAATTCCTCGTCATATCGCCATGTTTGTTTCATTCACAAAAGAACTTGGTTTATTCACTTTTTCAACAACTTCTGCATAATGTGAACTGCAAGCTTTTAGTAAATGAGTTATTTAAATTTATCATATTTATGACTTCTTCTATGTTTTCTAGTGTTTGTTTTTTGATTAATATGTTAAATGTTACAAGGGAAGTTTCGATTGGAAACATTGTAAGAGGCTTAGTATCCTTATTTTCAGTAAAAACCAGAATTAAGTGAAAGAAACAATATCGATTCATTTGGTTCCATCAATGGTTTAAATCAAATAAGACCAATCACAGTTTCAATACATAAACTGATTCAACCTATAACAGTTGCATCCAGTCAGTTATATCTTTTGCATCTCAAAATCCCGTGCTAAAGAGCATTTTATATTTTGACTCTCATCAGTTTGCGCGTACGTACTAAAGAAATTGGGTTACATACACGGGACTAAATTTATGGCGATTCCTCACTAACAAATTCGTCTTTCGCGCGCTTTGTTAAAGAAAAAATAAAACTGATGTTTGTGCATGCAATCACTCTAATGACAAGTTTTACATGAAATTATGGAGACATCTTTATTGAAGGAGAGGCCTAATACACTTTTTTATGTAAGAATCAGCAATAAAACAATTTGCAGGTATGATATAATAGAAAAAATGAAGCTATATTTTACTTCAGCAAAATAATAGTGGTAAATGGGATCAACCTTTTACTCTCTCTCTCTCTCTTGTGCAATTTTCATTACTTGTGTCTATGCACTCTACTAAAAATGTAGCTTCAACAATGGAAATTTGTAAATTAAAAAAAAAAAAAAACGTCGTTAAAGGCCTAAAACCGTAGCCTGTGCCAGCATCGATAATTTTCTGTGAGTCCCAGTCACATTTTAATGGTATTAGGGGTATGAAAGGTTACTTACTAATTTCCCGTTTGAGCCCCATTTTATTTTAAAAATTGATTTTAGAACAATAAATTTATGAAGAATGTGTGGTTAAAAATAATGAAAAATATTTGGGTTTACGTGTAATATTATTTTAAAAATGTTCAGTTAAAAAGAAGAAAGAAAAAAATGTATTTTGTAAATAATGGAGTCCAAACAAAAGCTAATTGTTAACAAAGTGAGGGGCATTTCTCCATCAGCTGTCTCTTATCACTACTATATATATATCAATAAGCCAAAGAAGACTAAAAATTCATATGGTCATCTTGTGGCAGCCAAGAACTCTCTTCATCCAGAAATAGGGGAGAATTCTCTGGCTTTTGTCCTCCTCCACCTCAACCAAAATTCCAGATTTCATGTTCACCAAAAACAAGGAAGAGAGAGAGACGAAAAATTCATTATCTAGTACGAAATTTAAGCCAACAAAAGACAACTAGAACTTTAGTAAAGTTTCCCAGTATATAGTCTTTATCTGCAGATGTCAAATATTACAGGTGATGAGGGGAGTTTTTCCTCCGGAGAAATTCAACAGCGTCAAGAAAAACCGGAAAATTCAATAGTTTCCAATGCTACCACGAATAGCAATGGCTCCAGCTCACAGCAGCCGCCTACTAAGAAGAAACGAAACTTACCGGGAAATCCAGGCAATTTTAGCAACTCATAAATCTTATTGTATATATGCTTTTATACAAATCCATCTCTTTGTTTATTAATGAACTAGATGAAGTAACATAGAAGGATTCATGTAGTCGACTCTAAATTTATTAAGTAACAAATTATCGTATACCTATGGCCTGCATAAGTTAGTTTGTAGAAGTGCATCTATCATCATAGAATACAGTAGGGTTTTAAGAGCTTACCAGTTTTCTAGATTCAGATTTATTTTGGGAAAAGAAATAAATTGTAAAGGGTCCAATAATTGAATTCAGAAATACAATAATTGCTCTACAGTACTGTGCATGATTGCACCTTTCTTTATCCTGTGTTATCACGGGATGTCCTATTCACTGGATATTTTTAAATTCATTCGTAAAGTCATATGTTGTAATAATGTTTTTTTAATTTCAAGACATATATGCTGGAGTTCACTTGCTGGATGATGAGTAACAAAACTATGATTTTTTGTCTTTATATTGTAAAGATCCGACAGCAGAAGTTATTGCACTGTCACCAACAACCCTTATGGCAACAAACAGATTCGTGTGTGAAATATGTAACAAAGGGTTCCAAAGGGATCAAAATCTTCAATTGCATAGGAGGGGTCATAATCTTCCCTGGAAATTAAGGCAAAGAACAAGTACCGAGATAAAAAAGCGCGTTTATATATGTCCCGAGCCATCTTGTGTGCACCATAATCCGGCTCGAGCGTTGGGAGACCTCACGGGAATCAAGAAGCATTATAGCCGAAAACATGGGGAGAAGAAATGGAAATGTGATAAGTGCTCGAAGAAATATGCAGTGCAATCAGATTGGAAGGCTCACCAGAAAACCTGTGGAACAAGGGAATACAAATGTGATTGTGGAACCATATTCTCCAGGTTCATCTCTTACTACTTATTTTGAATTTATCCACAATATCTTATGTTTATTGTTCGACAGCATGAAGTATGATCGAATTGTACACTTATTTAGGCATCTTAGGTCCACTCTATTATTCCTACCCGTATAATGAAGCCCTGTTTGGTATATATTAAAATTAGATTTTTAGTAAATTTTGATAAAAATGGATGAAATATATAGTTTAAAAAATTGTGGGTTCCATGAAATGTGTGGTTAAAATTAATTGTTGACTTTGATTTGAGATTTTTTAATAAATTTTAATCTACACCAAACGTGGGCAAAGGATTTTGTGAGATCGCCTCCTTCATAATGAAAATTTACAGCGGTGAGTGGACTTAGAGCTCGTAGTGAGAGTTTAATCCTTCATATGAATATCTTACTGAAGTGAGTCATTAATCAATGAATAAAGTCGATTTTCGGGTCAAGAAGATGTGAAAGTTTATTTCTATGACAACGGTGTGTTCCGAGGTGTGAATTGCCAGCAATTTTTGTACATGCTTTTCCATATTTTATCTGCATTTGATGCATATATTTTTATGCATGCAGAAGGGACAGTTTTATAACACACAGGGCATTCTGTGATGCACTGGCTGAAGAGAACAATAAAGTGAGCCAAGGCCTAATGAGTACAATGGGGCCTAATTCACAAGGCCAAATGCCTGAACTCATTTCAACTATGCCTATAAACAGCAACACAAATACACCTTTGGGATTATCTGATTTTAACAATCCATTGAAATCTCTTCCACCAGAACTTGTCCCAATCCCATTCAAAACCATGCACATGGCCGGCGGTATGTTTTCCAGCAATTCCGGGTCCCTCTTTGGTAGCCCGAGAAGCATTCATTCTTCGTCATCGGGCCTTCAGCTCAGCTCGAATTCTAGTCCCTCAGGTTATAACTACCACCAAGACAGCAAAAGCGGGTCGGGACAGATTTCAGGCTTGGCCCACATGTCGGCCACGGCCTTGTTGCAAAAGGCAGCCCAAATGGGTGCAACTGCAAGCAATAGTAACAATTCTCCAATGATGCAAAAGAGCTTTGTTAGTAGTATGGCAGGTCCTGATCAGGTTTCTGGGACAAGGCCTTCGTCCAATGTGCATCAAGGCAACTCGTACGATAACTTCCAAACGCAAAACGAACAATCAGCATTCGCAGGAATCAACGGAGGAGGAGGATTTTCTAGCCAGCTTATGCACAAGAGCTCACAAGAGGTGTCTGACTTATTCGACTCCTCCAAGACTGGTGGCTCAGCCATGGGTGACATGATGATGTATGGTGGAATGTTGATGAATAACGAACTAAATTCCGGATTCTTAAAGAATGCTATGGAACAAGAGAACAGTGAGAATTCCGGGCTTGTCAGGGGAAGAAATGTCATGGGGAGGAATTCCTCTGGCCCATCGAGTTTAGGGGGCAACGATATGATGACTGTGGATTTCTTAGGGGTTGGCGGGTCGAGGCCACAAAATATGCATGAACAGAGACTGGAATTGGAGGCAATAAACCAACAGAGAATGCAAGTAGTGAACCCTTTTCAACAGCTCTCACACAGGGATTCTGCTATGGAAAAACCGCTGTGGGATGATATGTGAGACATTGCAATGTAGTACATCAAACATAATGTTACAGAACAATGTCATATAGTACAATGAGAAGACAACTAATGAAATCTGACACAATGTCTGGATTTAACCTCATTGCTAGACATTGGATTTCATGTTGAACTTTAAATTAGCCTTTGCTAATCCAATGAAAAACCTTGATATGAGCCTGATTAGCGTAGAAGCTCATGTTTACAAATTTAACAACAAAGTTTCATTGTTAGGATCATTTGACAAAGTTTCTACTTCTGCTTCTTGTAAAAGAACTATCCAAAAAAGTTACCTTAATTAGTGTATGAAAACTAATTTCTAAAAGAGCTTTCTCTTTTGGAAGAACTTTTAAAGGAAGTTGCATAGGGTCAACATCCACTAAAAACTCTTCCAACTAAAAGAAACACTTTTACAAAATTTAACCAAACAGGTCCTTCTCAAAAGCCACGCTGAAAAGAACTCTTAATCAATTTGAAGGGAGCTTGAGTTGCTACAAAATCTGTGTTTATTTATACAGTTGAAAAGTCTAGTAACACGATATACAAAATTCATAGTTCTTCCAAGTCATAATGATCTGCCTAATACATAATTTCAATGTAAAAGAGACAATGGCACATATACGTGCAATTATAAAAGGGCTTATCAGTTCCCCACTTGATTGGGGTCCTGCAATTCACTGTTGAAGCTCTCGTATTTGATGCCCCGAGTTCAAGCTGAATGGAGATGTGTACGGTGTTTGGTACCGATACTGGAATCTTTTTTTTTTCAGCCTCTTCTGCAACCTTCACGGCCTTGCTGGTTTTTTGTCGCCAAAATAAAATTTGATTTTGCAATAAACTACTGAACTTAAAAATGAAAAAGGGAACGCTGAAAGTGATATTGACACCGTCTTAACTAATTAACATGTCCAGAGGCATGGAGACCTCAATTTGAAGGAAAATCCAACCTTGCAACATGTGGAGTGTTATGCGCTCAACAACCATTTTCTGAAAACCCATAAAAAATTCACATAATGTTGTTGCACATTCAAGGGTCTACAGAAACAGGTTTTCTCGAGTTCAACAGGCTCAAAAGGCTGTCTTTATATTTTATTTTAAGTATCTTCTAGCATGCTGAAAGTCAACTATATAAATGAGCTCTAATTTGTAGTTCTTAAATTTTTTGTTGAAAGAAAAGGGAAGCTAAGATGCGCCTCCAAGGATTATATGTTTCAACTCGCTATTTTAAGCCTATGTTATATTGACCTTTCTACAAAGGCAGAAGTAACTTAATACTTAATAATTGCACACAAGGAAAAGCATAAAATGGCAGAGTTTTGAGGAACCTGACAGGGTTATGGCTTTGCGGTATAAGGTAGGTCTTAATTTAAAGAATCTACATAGTAAATAAACAGAATTTAGTACATTAACAAGTCTATATCATAAGCATCTTAATAGAGCCTACAAAATCTGAAAGCTCTAACATTGTCAAAATGCATGATAAATTTGAAAACCAAAGATATGGTTGTGCATCGCTCCAGATTAAGATTGACCCCTATGCAGATCTGATGATGAAACAAACAAAATAAAAAAAGAAGAAGTACCTCTGAGAAATTAGATGATAAAATATTGGAAACAACATCTTCAACATCTGTTTGCTCCAATACCACAGTACTGCTCTGGAGATCTGTGCTCTTATTTCCTCGATGATTGGTTAAACTGGAGGGAATCGTGGAAGTCGAAGGCTCTACAAGAAAACATTATGAGTAAATCGGTCTTGGTTTTACTGGAAAACACAGACTTCAACCTGCCAATGCTTCAGGTACTAACATAGTCAAAGCAATTCATTCTTCTGGTTAAAAAAATAAAATCTAAAAGCATATTTATCCAACCAAGTGCATATTGTTCGTATATACTACAGCTTACAGTGTTGATGGAAACAGTGAACCCCTCTTTTTCAATTATAAATGAAATCTAGTAACCTAGATCTCAATTTAAAAAAAAATAATAATAATAATCAAAACAAGGATAAACATTCTATATGGTTTAACTGGTTTCGCTGTTTTCACATTTCCTGCTGCCTCAGTGTCAATATAGTGTATTTGTCGTCCTGTTTAAAAGTTTTTTTGCTTTTCCCCCTTAACAAGAGACCCAAGCCTAAAATATCTCTGCATAACCACGTTGTTCACCTATGTGCATGAAGACTTCAGCTATATCAGGATGGGACTGCTGAAGTTGACGACGAACATTGTGCTCAACATCGGGGGCAGCTCTAACACTAGAAAAGGGATCTACCTACACGGAGAAAGTATTTGCTGTACATATTTAGAATACATATCAAAGGCTACTACATCAACAAATTAAACAATTTTGTTATCGTTTTTCAGTAATTGACAACAATTAAGTATGAAAGAACAAGATGTGTACCATTCAAATACATTATGCAAAAGCAGGAGAAATAGCAAACCTCAATGTCTACATCAACATAGAGAGATGAACCTGCCCTCCTTCCTCTCAGACGATTATATCCCTACAAGTTCCAACAAAAAAGATTAGGCCCTTGTTTGACATCTATTTTTTTCCTCATTCTCTCTCTCATTTTTTTCACTTTCTTCATTTCAACCACACATTCTATCAATAAAATAATATTACACATAAACTCAAAAATTCTCCTTACTTTTTAACCACACATTCTTCCATCAATCACTATTCCAAATCAAATTCTTTCATAAAATGGGTGTCAAACAAGGGCTAGATCAAATCCAAATGACAATTTATAAATTTTCAAGAAAGAAAATGTTAATATAACCATGCACAAGTCACTTGCAAAGCAAGGTCTTGAAAGGGCTAGTGATAGAGGATTTGAATTAAGATAGTTAGGGACTATTTAGTAAATACATTATTTATTCTATCTTTGTATTTCATATTCTTTTTGCACATAAGTGAATACAACAATTCTCTCTCTCTCTCTCTCTCTCTCTCTCTCTAATTGCATCTGTTTCTCCACTCCACGTCTATGCTTCTTGGTTTCTGATATAAGAAAGGACTCCGAACATAACAGAATACTGTTGATTTTTTTCTCAAAGGCAGGAGGTACCAAGATTTCACTGATATTTTCCAATAAACACCTCAACGATCCATCTATTTTCTCACTTCATGCACATCTCGACCGCACATTTGCCAGAAGTTTGTCAATGAACTATCTTTATGCATAGAAAATCAATTTTCAATGTTCCAGTATGAAACTCAAAGTAATGATTGGTGTAACTGTATTTTTGTCTTAACTGAACTAGATGGAATCTACCACACGGCACTTTATTATAACTAAGAAATTGATTCAATTACCATACCTCTAGCTTATTTAAATACAATAACAAGAGAAAAACCAAATAGAGCTACAAATATCAAACATGAACAGAGTAGGGACAACAATGGACTAACAATGCCACCCCACTCAAGACCTACACCATCTGATTCATACAATTTACTCAACAAAAATGAAAGAACAAAAATCATGAAACATTTAGTTAATCCAGTGTCATGCTACTAATAACAAAAAGTTGTTATTGAGCTCTACCACATCAAAGATTGAATGCGCGGCATCAGCAATAATAGCAGTGCTTCCAGAGAGATAACCAGTCAAGGTTTTACCGGTATCGGCAGCTAGGCCAAGGCGGAAAATCTTCTCCCCCTCCTTTCCGGAGCGGAGATCCTAGTGGTAGTGGTGGGAATGTCCTATATGCCACCGTCTGTGAATCTTGAAATTGGGGTATCGTTGCAATTCCCATAGAACTCAGGATTGAGAGCAAGAAGTGCAGCAGTGGGATTATTGAAATTCTTGCAAAGGACGATGAAATTCTGGAGACTTTTTGAATTGGATTGGGGTTGATCAAGAATCTAAATCCCATCTTATTTCAGAGTTAAAATTCTTCAATTTTCTACTGGATTCAAGCTTTTGGTGTATGCCAGAATTTTGATTTAGGAAGATGAACACGGAAACCAGCGTTTCCTTCAAGCAAATCCTACGCTCTTTGTTCAAACTTTTTTATTTTTGATTTTTGTATTTCTGAAAAAATATTTAAAAAATAATTATAAAACCGTCACAAACGAACTAGCAAAAGTCCTACAGGACAGTATCGAATGCTGTCCAATGTACGATTAACCATGTCTACAAGTACAAACATTGTCCAATTATCGAAGGTTCGGATTCGGCGAATGCTTTTCTCTGTTTCGCTATTTCAACATCGACTCGACTCCCATCCCATAGGCGAATCAATAAATTTTTACTTTTCTTCTTAAATTAAGTATGACATTATCATTCAATTTAACTTATCAGACGTATTTGTATAAAATAAAAGTACTGTCGACCTTAATGTCACATTTATACATACATACAAATCTATGTATTGAGTAACTCCTCGAATATTCACAAGTTAAAAGCTGTTGAATTAAGTTTTTGANACCTTAATGTCACATTTATACATACATACAAATCTATGTATTGAGTAACTCCTCGAATATTCACAAGTTAAAAGCTGTTGAATTAAGTTTTTGAGAAGTTGAATGTAAAACAAAATAAATTATCCAAATTGAGAAAAAAAAATCCACAGTACTCTTGAAAAAAGAATATGCTAAACTTAAAAACATTTCTATTAGCAGAGATTACTCTAAAGGCATCTTCTCCCACCGTGCCATCCTCTGTTTCCGCCCCGACCATTGTCCCAATAGCCTGATGGCTGCGATGGATTCTGCAACATTGCCCTTTCGGGTCCATAACCATGTCTCGAGTTCATTATTGGTTGGGGCTGATTCGGGCCAACAACATATTCATGAGACCTCATTGGACTTGGACTAGTTTCCGGGCTCCACGTCTCAAACTTAGGTGCCTCCTCTAAGTGATTTCTCTCCAGAGGTCGTCGGGTGTAAGCATTATAATTGTTTGATCGAGGAATTTCCCGATAATGGGGTTCTGATTCTAAACCCGGCCTCTCTCTCCAAGAACTGGAAACTGTAGGCTCGGGC